TTCCATGACTGCTCAGGAGCCTTTGGTGAAGAACTTTGCCAAAAGCCCTTGGGAAGTCCGAGTAAGGAATGTCTGCTGGCTCGCCCCTTTCTATGTGCTTATTGACACTCTCAAAGGACTCCAATATGTTAGTGAGACAAGACTTCCTCCTGCAGAAGCCATGCTAATTTTTTTTCAACAGGGCTTATCCCAATATGTGCTTACTGATTCTATTTTAAATAATGCTTTCAAGGAGTTTTCCTAGAATAGATGTTAAACTAACTGGTCTGTAATTTCCCCTGGATACTTGTTTAAAAATCGGTTACACTGGCCATTCTCTAATCCTCTGGTACAAGGGCTGATTTTAGGGAAATATTAAATATTTTGGTAAGAAGGTCAGCAATTTCATGTTTGAGTTGTTTGAGAACTCTAGGATGCATACTACCTGGGCTTGGTGATTTAGTGACTTTCAGTTTGTCAATAAGGTTGAAAATTTCATATTTTGTCACTACTATGTGCCTTAATTCCTCAGACTCCTTTCTGGAATACATAAGCTCAGAACAAGTATCCACTGTGCATACTGTGCTGTGAAGACTGATGAAAAAAAATCATTCAAATTATCTGCAATCACATCACTTCTCCCCGCAGTGCTCCTTTAATTTCATTATTGTCCAATGGTCCAACTGCTTCTTAAGTGGCTTTCTTTCTTCTGATATATTTATATTTAAGAATTATTTATTGTTGACCTTGATATTGTTAGCAGTGCGCTCCCAAAGTGTTTCCTTGCTTCTTTGATTGTATGCTCACATCTCCCTTGTGCAAGCTTGTGGTCCCTTCCGGTTTTTTTCAGCAGGGCAAGACTTCCATTTTTCGAAGGAACCTTTCTTTTCTCCATAATAGCTTCCTTGACTCTATGTGTTAACCTTGCTGGTGATTTCCTGGACTTTGTGCAACCTTTCCTCAATTGTGATATGCATATTATCTGTGCCTCTATTATAATTTGCTGATTAATGTCTAAGTGCTTCATGGTGGTTTTCCTGAATTCTCTCTTCAGCTTCTTCTTTATCAGTTCCTTCATTTTTAGAAGTTTCCTCTTTTGAAGTCATATGCAACTGTGTTCAACCTCTTTAGCAAGTCTTCTACCTAAATTAAATCTGATACCACCACTGTTTCCTATTGGCTCAACAAAATTTATATCCTGTGCTGTGCCCTGGCCAACCCCACTTAGGACTAAATCCAAGGTAGTCTCCCCTCTGGTTGGTTCCATGACCAACTGCTCTAGGGCACAGTCATTTGGGACATTGAGACATTTAACCTGTCAGAACTTGTCATGCAGTAAGTTATTCAGTCAGTGTGTGGGTAGTTGATGCCCCTCCCATTGGTACAGTACTGCCTTTGTTGGAGGCCTCCCTGATATTATTTCCCATCATCCTGAGCATTCTGGTCTGGAGGACCATAGCATAATCTCATGACTAAGTTAGTTTTGGAGTTTTTGGAGTCAGCAATTTTCACCCACCGTGCTTCTGTGCAGAAATCTTCACACTGTAGATCATCATGTCTGCTGGACTCTATGTCTTCTTTAAGATAGAGGGCAACAGCTCCTCCAGCATGCCCTTCCCTGTCTTTCCTATATAGTTGATATCCAGAGATGACCATCTCCCATTGGTTTTCTCTGCTCCATCAGGATTCTGCAATGCCCACTATATTTATCTTCTCCTTTATCACCAGTTACTCCAGCTTTCCCATTTTGGCCCTAAAGCCACTAGCATTTGCAGAGAAACACCAGTGCACCTGAGCTCCAGCCGCATGCAACTTTTTGTTCTGGCCTTAGTCCTCTCCAACTGGTTATCATGGCTTACCATAACTTTGTTGCCTATTTCCTCCCGTCCTCTGCTTGGACAGTCTGAAACTTCTTCCCCTTCATCCACTGGGGATGATTCAATTCTAGTGGATGAAGCTCCCAGCTCCTGCTGGCTTTCCCCCTGGGTTCAGTTTGAAAGTTGCCCTACCACCTTCTTTATGTTATGGGCCAGCAGTCTGGTTCTGTTCTGGTGCAGCTGGAGCCCATTCCTCCTGTTCCCCAGTGCCTAAACAAATCTGAACTCCTTCTCTCTAGAGCCCTGTCTCATCCACTCACTGAGACTCTTCAGTTACGTCTATCTAGCTGGCCCTGCATGTGGAACCAGTAGGATTTCAGAGAAAGCCACTGTGGCGGTCCTGGATTTGATCACTTTGGCCTGACGTTCCTCACCCCTGCCCTCACCGGTCTGAGCCTAGGTTCTTTGAGGGGTTGTCTCCACCCAGATTCTCCTGCAAGTGCCCTGCTCAAATAGTTTGGGGTTTGTGGCTATTAAGGGGAGGGCAGTTTCACTGGTGGCGCAATCCTTGTGAAGAGACTTGCCTGGCATTTGCATTGTGATCTTTCCAGAGCTAGGTGAAGACCTTTTCCTTTTACCCAGAACTATTCGTTCTTCAGTTGCATTTTTCAAATAAACAATTGTGTTTTATTAAATTTAATTGGTATATTTATATCCTGACTCTTCTTCCCATATGGAACTCAAGGAAACTACATGGGGTTGCCACATGGCCTCATTGCGTAGACCCAGTTCAGAAATTTGCAGTTGCATCATACACTTTCAGATCATATCTTGCATGAACTATGTTTATATCTTTATACTACTGCAGCCTTCTCTCTCTCTCAATCTCTCCCCACCGCTTTGTTTTTAATATGTGTTAGATCTTCAAAGTTGTTATATTTTATTATGTTGTGTTTAATTTTTGGGAACTGCCTATACAGCAATGCAAATAAAAAGCAATGCAAATAAATACAATAAAATGCAATAATGCTTGCTATGGTTCAAATAACATAAATACAAGATAAATAATAAAATTGCGTTCAAGGAGGTTTGCTCATAGATGACTGTACATAGAATTGCAGAGGCAGTGACTGAAAGTCGCCTTCCCCAACCCGATGTGTTTCTGATGTTTTGGGTTGCAACTCCCATCATACCCAGTCAGCACTCCTGATCATACTTCCCCCATATATTTTGCATGATGGGATCAGCATTCCGAATCCCACCATTCCTCCAATTTCATTTGTGTGTCCCACAGTGGCATTTCAGTTAAAAAAAAAGGGGGGGGTCATTTCATCTAATCAGATTAGACCTCTGATTCTAGGTGAACAGTTTTGCACCCTTTTGCACTGCTGTTCTCAGAACTGGGGAATACTTCTTGCCTCAGATGAAAACGCTCATGAAACTTCGGATCAATCCTAGTTCAAATGGCTTTTCATTTCCCCAGGTTCTCCTCTTGAGAATGTCACATTAGTTTTGAGTTTAGCTGCATTGCTAATCTGATCAGCATATTATCAAAATGAAAAGGAGTGATCCTGGTTGCAAGGTTGGAGGTCTTTTGTTGCTCAGAGGGGAAAAAAGACACCAGTGTTACCTTTGCATGAAAAGAGTATATTAAAATGCACTCAGTGAAATTTGAAAGCCTTTATAAAAGAACAATCAGGACACAAACTTTTTGAAGTATCTAAAGTATCCATTGCTAGAGGAAAATATGCACTTTATATAATGGGACATAACCATTGCTTTCAGATATGCCTTTGATCTGAAGTTTTACCATAGTTAATTGAATGTCTAAATAATAAGTATTCAAGCAGAAAATTTAGAGTTGACTTACCCTGAGTAAGTTAAGGTAGTTAGAAGAGGGTCAGGGCTGTGAACAAATCACAGTGGGAATATAACAAAAGATGACAAATTGGGGGAATAGTTCAGTTCATTTACACAAATTACAATTCTATTAAAACTTCACATAAGACCTGTTACTGCATCAATAAGCATAGATTGTTAGGCTACAACATCCTTTAGCAACCTGGTGCCCCCCCCCAGATGCTTTGGAGATCAATTCTCATCAGTCCCAGACAACAAAGCCAACATGGTCAGGAATGTGGATGGTTGGAGAGCACAACCTCTAGAACGTAACATGTTGGAAAAAGCCGGTCCACAGGCCAAAACTACCAAAATAAGCACTGCTATGCAGGGATGGCATGTGTCGTGTGTGTTCTAACGGGAATATAGACCCATGTTACTAGTGCTGGTTCCTGGCTTTGGAGAACCCTTGAGCAAGGAAGGCTGTGCGCAGTCTCTTTAATTTGGAAGAGGCAGGGCATGAAATCTAAGATTTCTCTCACCACTTCTGACCTTCACAGGAGTGAAGAATTGCAGTGCTTGAACTGTGGGCCTTTTACCAGAGTTGTGGCTCCACATCAGAACGTAGAATCATAGAATAATTTCCCCAGTGCTTGTCTTTGTTGCCCTCTGGAGCCAGCTGTGCACGCTATGTTCTAGGGTGAGACTCTCTTAGGTCCAGGGGCAGCATTCCTTCCTGGAAGAACTGTAGACATCTGGATCTAGGCTTGGATCTGCTTTCCATATCCTGATCCTTTACCCTATAGCTGCTATTTAATAAAGTTCAAAACAAGCACATACAAGTTAAGCAGGCAATTAACATCCGATGTAATTTTTTCCCTATGTGTTTGCATTTTGAAGTGTGTGAAACCATGTTTCTAATAAACATTCCCATTTTCAACAAACCAGTAATTTTAAAGGAGAGTTGCCAATTGATGTTATTAGTGCATAGAGGATAAAGCGGCTTAGCTGCCATGTGTTTCAGCTGTACTTTTAATCATGTCACCATCCATTAAAATGTTCTGTCAAGGGAACAGTTTTTATTTATAATATAGCTCTTTGTTTATTAGTGCACCAAATTTTCTTTCAAAGAACAGGTGCTTCCAGATTCTAGTACTAACCCTATGCAGCTCTTCCATCATTTTTCCTTATTTTTTCAGGTAAGAAAAAGTCAGAAGAAGCAATGGAAAAATATGGGAGGACTACAGACTAGTACATATTGCTAGGACTTCCTATAAAAATCCATGAATGTCATTGCACAATAAAACCCTTGACTGGAAGTACCTTTGCATCATTTGATAATGTGCTCTTCCCCTTATTTTCTAGCTGACAAATTTAGAAGAAAACTTGAAGAGCTAGAGAAAGAGAAAAGTTCATTAACATTTCAGCTTCCTTCACGACATCCATCAATCAGCTGCTTTTTGGACAGATTCAGAGTGCAAGTTCAGGTTACATTGTATGGAGATGTTTATAGGTAAGTTCAATTCCTGATGGCTTTCTAAAGAACAAACAAACAAGAATTTGTGAACATGGGATGAATTCCAGTACTTGAAAGTACCCTCGGTACCTTCCTGACTTGTACTGTTACACAAAAACAGACAAAACGCCAACCGAGGGTACTCATGAAATACACTGCGGAACTAGAGCTCTGATCCAGGTAGCCCATTGTTCAACTCCTTTCTCTGCCATGAACTTGATAGATGGCCTTAAGGCAAGCAAGCCTCAGCTCCCTCATTTGCAGTTTGGGAAATATACCAATTTATGATGGGTAGATGTTGTATGTGAAATGTTTTGAATACTCTAAAAATGCACAAATTCTATATGCTTCAGCTGATTGTGCCATGGTATTCAGTGATGTACAATCAGTTAAAGTATTTTTGCAATTCTTGATAGTATACCTTTCCAGATATGAACTTATCCATGCACTATGATCTTCATTTGAGAGTTCTTTTCAAATGCCTCATCCAAGGGAGGTTTGAAGAGGGTCTTCTTGGTGATTGCCCTTCAAATTATGACATAATCTACCCAATGAATGCTTCCTGTTGCCCATGTTACCTTTATGATGCTACTCGTAGGTTAAACTCTTCCTCTAACTTTGGGGAAGTTGACACCATATGGTGAGATTTTTTTAAGGGTTCTGGAATTTTATTGCGGATTATGCAACAATCTTTCATATATTAGTATGCAAATAGTTTTATATTATGAATTGGTTTGCTTGTAACAAGGACCCAGAATATGGGTCAAATATGGGTATTCACTAAATCACTGGATGTTTAATCGTGTGTTGTACGCAAGCCCTGCGCTGTGGTTAAATTTGGGTTGCCTACTGCAATCAACCCAGACTTCCCAACCCAATAACTAACCACAAGTTCTTCTGGGTTGTTTTGGTAAGCAAGCCATAATTAAACCATAATGGAGGGTTCAGTCATAACTCAGCCAATATTCATGGTGCTCCTTACATGTGAACCAGGTTTTTCAGTTTCCTGCCTTCCAGCTCTGTAAGACTGCTACAAATTTTCTACATCCATTTAGCAAGATCCATAGCTTCAAGGGGAAACTAAGCAACAGTAATCTCTTTCTATTTTATCCACAACCCTGCATGATTTCCAGTTTTGAAATCTCAAACTCTCTCAACATGTCAAATGCTCTACTCCAGAAACTGTTGATAAAACGTTGGCTGCAAACTAATCATGTTCCATGTGATGTATATAACTGAACTTGGAAGGAATTCTACCTGTCTTTTTAGGATAACACTCAAAATAATACGTATTTAAGATTATATGGGTAAACATGTATTCAGTCTTCTTTTTATTTTTCACATGCTTATACTACGACCTTCCTAAACCCTACAAAGACAAGGGTTTTTTAAATCTAGGAACTTTTTTGCAATAAATAATGGTTTCATAATTTAATAATAAGCAAAATGTTCAGCTTTAAACCTGTTTTCCCAGGTTTTTTTGTCAAGAGGAAACTGTGTTACTGTGTGGTTACTGCATAGAAATAGGATATATGTTCTCACTAAGCAGTCTCACTGACTGAAATTCTGTGCATGTCTGCTGAGAAGTTAAGTCCCATTGCATTCCGTGGGAATTATGCCCTGATGTATGTATAGGATTGCAGACTATTTCACTCTTCTAAGAATGGTTTAATCTTCAAAAATCCAGTGCATAGAATTGCTCTGGAAAAGCATAGGTCCTCCTTGGCTGGTGGCGAGATATTATTCACTATTGCTTTATGTTAGGAGTACACAGGATTGGCTCTTGTGAAGAAGCAGCACACAGGAGGACCAAGATGGGTGGAGAACAGATGAGATGGGTCAGGAGTTGCAGTGTTGGGCACGTGAAGGGCCCTCAAGAGGCAACCCACACTGTGGCTTGAGCCTCACTGGGGGACTTATTGTGCAGCTATTCTGCCTTTCTCTCGTCAACAAATTACCTGTGGTAAGAAAGAGACAGAAGAAATGATAGGAAAGGCATCAGTGCGTGAACCTCATCTCATTTTTATAAATGAGGAAGGGTGATTACAAAAGAAAAGTTTTACCTGGAAGCATAGTGAATTGTAATTGGTAGATTCAAGAAAGCTGGGATTCAGCCTGAAAACAAGTGTACCGGTAATCTGTTTATTCACTTTCCTTAGATGTGCTCTTCTTGTCCTGTGCTTTATTGGTCATTGAGAGAAAACTTGGGATTTGCTGCTGAGTGTGTGCCCAAATGTTTTTGGATGTGTTAAATGAATTACCAAGCCTTTACTCATGAACGGATATGGAGATTATATTATAATTAAATATGGCTGATCTATATCTTTAGGATTTTTTTTTGCAGCAGGAGGGGGAGGGTATAGATAGTGGACTGGATTAGATTATCTCCTCTCTAGCTGTGATGGGTGAATGAGGCTGTGAATTCCTGCCCTGCTTACCTGGTCTCTGCACAATGAAGTGTCCACAAAGTGCTTGAATCATGGAATTCCCTCCTGGAATTGTATCTGAGATATTGATCCTTCTGTACAGACGTACGTCGCTTGGAGTTTAAAAGAGTATGCCATATTCAAATATTGTGCTCATATGTGGATATCCAGTGGGACATGTGCCCAGTCCTCTGTGCAGGTTGTTTTTAAATTAGAACCATGTTCTTGCTGGAGTGAAGTATTTGCTGCCACGATGGACTTCCATCAATAAGAAAGGCAAACACATCTCAGTGTGCAGCTCTGGCATCAGTCACATAATATCATCAACTTTATTTAAGCTTGCGTATAAGCCAGTAGGTACAACTTTGTAACCTTATTTTCATAAGTATTGTGGGATGGGCCATCCTCATGACATGGCATGCTGTTGCAATGTAGGCAGATAGACAGATCAGTAGAAACACTGGGGATTGGTGTGCTTTAGGAAATGACTGCTAATTTGTTAATGTAAGCAAAAGTTAATGTTTGTAATTATTGTCATTTTTAATGATTTAACAGAGGAAGCAGGCAGCAGAAAAGTGAAGAGAAGATTTTAAGCCTTCCTTGCCAAGAAAAGATAAAAGTTTCAGCCACAAAACGAGAACAGCTGGTTAAAGAAAAAGAGTGGATACAGGTAAGAGTGGAAGATACCAGTTTGTGAGGGAAAATGTCAAGTAGAGTCCAGGGAATTTGCTGCTGTGTAATACTTGGAGCCATGACTTAGAGTCATCTTGAGATGGAAAATGAATTCAGGGAGGCCTGAAAATGAAGAACTGCTGTAGTAATAGGTGGCTTCAATTACTTGCATTCCATAAGTGACTGGATAAATGCATGTTCCAGTCATTACAAAGAGTTTAAATTTCTTGATGTCCTAAATGACTGTGCCCTAGAACCGTTGGTCATGGAACTGACCAGAGGGGAGGCAATCCTGGATTTTTCTCTAGGCGGGGTTGCCAGTAAATGTTGTTGAACCAGTTGGAAGCTGTGACCATCATGCCACCAGATTTAGTATTATTTAAGTGGGAACTTGCTAAAGAGATCCAATATAGTCATAATTAAAACAGGAACTGATAAAAAGGATATGGAAAGAGGGAGTCAAGAGGCATTTATCCTGCTTGGAGATTACTCAAAGCAATAATAACAGATGCTCAGATAGAATGTATACCATAGCTTAAGAAACATAGTACTAAGTTCACGTAGTCACCTCTATGGTTAATGAATAGTGTTAAGGAAGCTATATGGAATTGGAAGCCTTCCTTCAGAAAATGTAAGTCTTGCTCAAATGAGGAAAACAAAACAAATCTGCAAAAAGGAGATTCAAGCAGGTAATAAGAAGTGCAAAAAGCGTTTTGAGGACTGGATTATTAACAACATCAAGGCCAACAAAACGGAATTCTTTCAATGTATCGGAGGCAGAAAACTAAAAGAGGATAAGGAAACTCTAGGAAGATGGTTAAATGCTTTTCATCTGTCTTCACTGCAGAGGAGACAGGAGAAATATCTGATATTTTCAGGAATGGACTCTGAGGAACTGAGGCAAATATTGCCGACAAATTACTGACAAATGAAAGTTCATAAATCACTGTGCCCAGGTAGCGTCCATCCCAGAGTCCATCTTTAAGAACTCAGATATGAAATTGATGGTCTTCTAACAAAAATACACTTCCCTAAGATCATCCTCCGTACCAGAGGACTGGAGAATTATCAGTACAACACCAACTTTTAAAAGGGGTTGAGTTTTAAGCAGGCTGGTTAGTTTAGTATTTGTTCCCATTAAATTGGCTGCACACATTCTTAAAGATAAAATTAGTAAGCATATAGAAGGACAAGGCCTGATGAGAAAGAATTGGCATAGGTTTACCGAAGGTAAGTCCAAGCTTTCTTATTTTAAAGTTGAGAGTGTCAACAAACATGTGGACAGGGTTGATCCAATAGACACTGTTCACTTGGACTTCCAAAAGGCTTTGAACAAAGTCCTCCACCAGAGACTCCTGAGCAAACTTAGCACTGATGGAAGAAGAGCAGAGGTCCTCAGAGTAACTGGCTAAAAAGGAGAAAGCATCTTCCAAAGGAGGGATATTAACAGTGAGGTGCCACAGGGGACCTGTACTGGGACCAGTGCTTTTCAATTGATGCGTAAATGACATGATAAGGGTGTATAAAATTAGAGAAATTGCATAGGGAGACCTCTCTCTCTCTCTCTCTTTCATATGTGATGAAAGTGTGCAAGTGGTGAAACTTTAGCCTCTCTGAAGGGTGCACCAGCATAATGGGAGTTGTAGTGCATTTTTCCTGTCTAGACTGGCATAGAATTGTGTATTAAATTAGCCTTAAACACTTGACATATGTTCAGAAACATGCTTCTACAAAGTAACTGTTATTTCTTTGATGTCTCAAGGCATTAGCCTGTATTTATTTAATTATATTGCCCCCAATCCTAGGAAACCAGTTCCTATGTAAGGCATCTTAAAATCAGTGGGAGTTGCTTCAGCATAATCCACTTCACTGCATTCAACCAGATAAGAGGCAAGCTTGTTCTTTTCTGGCCATGTATTGAGCCAGTTTTCCATGGTGCTATCCCATGTTGCTGTGATGCGGTTGTGGATATTGCAACCATGTGAGTGGGACTGATCTCACAGAAAATAACTGATGTGATTGCTTTGTATTCCTAAATGAATTGTTTTTACATGGCATAGTAGATGGTGAAATGGCTCTCATTTGACCCAGGGGTGTATGAGAGAGAGAGAGAGAAGAGAGAAGAGAGAAGAGAGAAGAGAGAATTTCTTTGGATCTTGGCTATTTTGTATCATTCATTGCACATTTTTGACAAATAAGGCTATATAATACATTCCATCTTCATTGCATGCAGAAAGAAATTGAAGTTCTTAGAGCAAGGCTAGCTCTTCTTGAAGCGAAGGATCGACAACTGCAGATAGAAATACAAGAGCAAGAGCAGCTCATTCAGGCAGAGGATTGTGAGTTGTCGTCTTTGCTCAGCTGGGTGTCCCATCAAGAACTGCAAGCAATAGGCAAAGCTTTGGCTGATGCTTCAGATGCATCACATAAAATTCCACACAGTTTGGACTTTCCAGAATCCATAAAAAGGTATTTATTATTGGGTGACACTTTGAAATCCTTTTATAAACTCTGATGTACTGCTTTGTCTGTATTATATCTTTCCTTAAATATTTACAAGGTATCTATCCTCATAAAAATTCCTTTACAAGAAAAATACAGATTTTTGTTAAAGTCCTGTTTCTCTAAACAAAAAACTTCCTGGAGTGATACAGGTACAGCATCATGCTACTAGAAATTGAAGTTCTATAGTTAAAATAGAGGATGCAGGTGGTTCAGTGGTTTAAACTGCTGTGCTGCTGGGCTGGTTGATCGAAAGGTCGCTGGTGCAGATCTGCACAATGGGGTGATTTCCTGTTGCTCCCTTTCAGCTCCTGCCAACCTTGCAGTTTGAAAGCATACAAATGCAATTAGATAAAAAGGTACCACTTCCATGGGAAGGTGACATCGTTCCCTGCACTTCGGTGTTTAGTCATGCCAGCCACATGACCACGGAGACTGTCTGCGGACAAATGCTGGCTCCCTCGGCTAGGAAATGGAGATGAGCACCGCCCCGTAGAGTCAGACACGACTGGACTTAATGTTAAGGGGAAACCTTTACCTTTACAGTTAAAACTATACACCCATGAGTCATTAATTAATTAGATACAGTTTTGATAAGATGGTGAAAATTACTAGTTTTGGAGCAAGCAACGTTCCACATGCAGTAGTCTTCATGTGGTTGTGTTTTCAAGAGGTTCTCATATAAATTCAGATAAAAATATTTCCTTATTTAGTTCAGGGGTAGTCAGTGGGCAGTTCTTTTGTCTGCTTACCTCTCCTTGTCTTAGGTTACAAACAGCACATCTGTCTTTTGTTTCCTTTCCATCCCTTCTGGTGCCTTCCCTATGTGCCAAGTCATGGCCGCCTTTTAGAGATAAATACACCAACAACATATTCCAGTGCAGGCCCCTCATCTTGATGTGGTAATATGTTTTTCTAGATTTCCTGTCAGTCAGTAGAGGAGGAGAATTTCTTTTTCAAAAAAACCCAGCAACTTCAAATTCAGCTAAATCATGGCATATTATATTGATTTTATTTTTCAAAATTGAGGTATGTTTAATCAATTTTAATAAGAAAAAACAATAAGGATGGTGACATATACTAGCTTCAAGTACTGAACTGTGTTTCAATTTTAGGTGGACGAATATTAATTAAATAGCACAGCAGCAGATGTCAGCCTTGCACTGTTAGCCATAGTCTGTTAGTTCAGAAGGTCACTTTTCTTGCTGCTTTTCTCACATACAGAAGCACAGTGACTGAAAGATCGAAAGACTGGGCAATGACATTTTCAGTCTATTAAATAGAAAGCAAACAGGCTTCACAATATTGCAGCTGGACTTTGCTTATTTTATATTTCACTGACTGAGCAACCTGTTCTATATTGCCCATGGGTAAGAATATTTATTTACCTGCTTGGCTTAAAACAGTTGTATGCTGCCCTGTGACAGAGTTCTTTGGGCTCTTACAGCAGAATAGAACATAAAGCGGTACCATCAAAAGCAACATAAAATGCAAGAAAACAGAACTTGTAGCACCCCAAAATTAAACACACAGATTTTAAAACTGAGAAAACCAGACTACAGGAGTTAATTAAAAGGCCTGGGTCAGAAAGGTCTTCATCTGGAAAAGGCCAAAGGGATGGTGCTGTCTGGGAAAGTTGTTCCATAACTGGGATGCCTCTTCAGAAAAACCTCTCTCCTTGTGAGTTGCTCACCTTTCGGCAGGGGCACACCAGGCAGGGTCTTCTGAAGAAGATCTTAAGAGTTAGGTAGCTACATATGGGAGAAAGTGGCCTTTCAGGCTATTTGGTCTCAAGCCATTTCAAGGTTTAAAGATCAAAACAGTCTAAGTTGGGCCCAGAAATGGATTGGGCCTCAGTGTATTTAACAAAGCACAGGTGTAATATGATCAGATGGCTTGGCTCCAGTTAGAAATCTGCTGCCTGCGCTTCTGTGGACCCACTGCAGTTGCCAAGCTGATTTTAAACACAGCCCCACATACAACACATTTCATTAGTCCAAATGGTACTTTAGGTGGTCTAAAGACTACTAGTTTTGGGACAGCCAAGAAATTTCCATGAGGTTTTATAAAGCTCCAGAACATTTTAAGCAGTGAGTAAAAAACATAGTCTACTAAAAATATTTACTCCAAATGCTGTATTTCTTTTATTTCAGACCAAAACAATTAAATGAACATTGTGTTAATGTGGATTTGATGATATTTATGGTGTCAGTGATATCATGAATCCACAACATCAGAAGATATTTAGTAACTGCCCTACAACCAACATTTGCATGTAGGGACGTAATAAAAATGTATGACCTTGTCATTTTTTCACCATCAACAAAAAATAAAATAAATAGTGAAGTTGTACAGTAAAGCTGCTACTGTTTTTGTTTACTTAAAGAGAATTTTGCCATCCTAAAAAATTCAAGAACAAAAGCACCTATAATCAGAATTAAACTTAACAATAAATATGAAAGTCAGTGAAAGAATTTTAAAAAGCAGCTTTTCCATAGAGGATGTTCTTCTCTGAGCAGCTAACTGGGCATCTGTCATATCCAGAGAATTCCCCAGTTAAAAAGATTCTAAGAATAATTACTGTGTTTTTTAAAAATTATTTTCATCCCGTTTCTTCTAATTATCACCTTGTGATTAAGGAAAGCTATAGTTCACCCTTGGAAATGCCACCAGCAAAACCTATGTAAATTACTTGCAAGAACGGAATTGGAAACTACAGTATATCACAGAAGTGAGTACACCCCTCACATTTTGTAAATATTTTATTATATCTTTTCTTATGACAACCTTGAAGAAATGACACTTTGCTACAGTGTAAAGTAGTGAGTATACAGCTTGTATAACAATGTAAATTTGCTGTCCCCTCAAAATAACTCAACAGACAGCCATTAATGTCTAAACCGCTGGCAACAAAAGTGACTACACCCCTAAGTGAAACTATCCAAATTGGGCATTATTAGCCATTTTCCCTCCCCAGTGTCATGTGACTCGTTAGTGTTACAAGGTCTCAGGTGTGTTAAATTTGGTGTTATTGCTCTCACTCATACTGGTCACTGGAAATTCAACATGGCACCTCATGGCAAAGAACTCTCTGAGGATCTGAAAAAAAGAATTGTTGCTCTACATAAAGATGACCAAGGCTATAAGAAGATTGCCAAGACCCTGAAACTGAGTTGCAGCACGGTGGCCAAGACCATACAGCAGTTTAACAGGACAGGTTCTGCTCAGAACAGGCCTCGCCATGGTCGACCAAAGAAGTTGAGTGCACCTGCTCAGCATCATATCCAGAGGTTGGCTTTGGGAAATAGACGTATGAGTGCTGCCAGCATTGCTGCAGAGGTTGAAGGTGTGGTGGGTCAGCCTGTGTGGCATCAAATTGGTCTGCAGGGCTGTCGTCCCAGAAGGAAGCCTCTTCTAAAGATGATACACAAGAAAGCCCACAAACAGTTTGCTGAAGACAAGCAGACTAAGGACATGGATTAATGGAACCATATCCTGTGGTCTGATGAGACCAAGATAAACTTATTTGGTTCAGATGGTGTCAAGCGTGTGTGGTGACAACCAAGTGAGGAGTACAAAGACAAGTGTGTCTTGCCTACAGTCAGGCATGATGGTGGGAGTGTCATGGTCTGGGGCTGCATGAGTGCTGCCGGCACTGGGCAGCTACAGTTCATTGAGGGAACCATGAATGCCAACATGTACTGTGACATACTGAAGCAGAGCATGATCCCCTCACTTCAGAGACCGGACTGTAGGGCAGTATTCCAACATGATAATGATCCCAAGCACACCTCCAAGATGAGCACTGCCCTGCTAAGGAAGCTGAGGGTAAAGGTGATGGACTGGCCAAGCATGTCTCCAGACCTAAACCCTATCAAGCATCTGTGGGGCATCCTGAAATGGAAGGTGGAAGAGCACAAGGTCTCTAACATCCACCAGCTCCGTGATGTCATCATGGAGGAGTGGAAGAGGACTCCAGTGGCAGCCTGTGAAGCTCTGGTGAACTCCATGCCCAAGAGGGTTAAGGCAGTGCTGGAAAATAATGGTGGCCAAACAAAATATTGACATTTTGGGCCCAATTTGGACAGTTTCACTTAGGGGCGTACTCACTTTTGTTGCCAGCGGTTTAGACATTGATGGCTGTGTGTTGAGTTATTTTGAGGGGACAGCAAATTTACACTGTTATACAAGCTGTATACTCACTACTTTACATTGTAGCAAAGTGTCATTTCTTCAGGGTTGTCACATGAAAAGAGATAATAAAATATTTACAAAATGTGAGGGGTGTACTCACTTCTGTGATATACGGTACTTATTATCAGTCCTGGATGGCAAAATTGTGAATCCAGTGATCTATCACTTTTATTTATATTTTGGACATGGTTAACTTCAAGAGCAGAATAATAGGCAAGACCTATTATATTAAGTAGCTGTAAATCCATCATGGTTTGCTTATATATGTTATTCTGTGTTGACTGCTGTGGGAAAACAATTATAGGTTTTTGTTCTAGCAGTGCCAGACATTTCAATTAGATAACCACACATTTTCAAATTGGGATATATTTCCCAGAAAAAAGGCATCACATTTTGTAGTGAAAACTGGGGTATATAGTCAAACACCCTTAACATCCCATGACTTTAATTTGGAGAATAATTAACCAATTATTACCTGCACTTTTCTAAGCCTTTTGTTGCCATGTTACCTTTCTGAGCAGTCTTTCCAGTTTTGTATTTTCAAGAACCTTTCCATTGGCTTTCGGTACCATTTCAAAGATCTCATAGCTTTATAGTAACGTCAAAGTGTTGAAACAGAAGCACATAATTTTATCCTGATTTCTGCTTCATCAATCATTTACTTAATAACAAGTTGATTGACTGAATCCTGCTAGTATTTCAAAGGCCACATGCTTTTGTATGTGCCGTTTTTCACTTCATGTATGTTTAGCATCACAAATATAGGACACTGTTAGTTTCAAAGAGCAACTTTTTCAAAGATGAAATGGTTAGAAGAGTTAGTGAAAGTGCCTGCACAGCAAATGTTTTTATTTCATGCTTAATGCTTTTATATGTTCAAAAAGCTTTCTTTCTGGTATAACCTATTATAAACAAAAGTACACCAAATGATGTGCCTGTAAAACAGAACTTGAACTGTAATAAGCAGTTATTCATTTGCTTGTTAAAGGGGAGCCTGATAGCACATGGAGAGATTAACAGATAGGAACCGTGGCAGTGTCAAGGAATTATTGATTCTCCCATAGATTCATATTGTGCAGGCTTTGCTGAAAGGCAATAAAATCATTCTGTTTCAAACTTTTAATAGAATTTTGCCATATACTTTCCACTGATGTAAGCTCCAGCAGATAGAATCCTCTGGAGTACTACATTTGTTTTCTTTCAAAGGACTTGGATTAGATCTATGTTGAAGGTCATGGCTTTCAAAATGCCATTTGCAGAACTATTGTAAATGTCTTTGGTCAACCCTGTGCAGGTTCCTATTTTGGAGTCTCCTTGAGCAAAAAAAAAAAAAAAATATCAATCGCTGCTTCAGTCATCTACATCTGGCCTCCTTCTGTTCACCAGCTGTTCCTCGTTCCCTGCCAGGAAGGGTGGAAAAGATTGCTGTCATTGACCACCCTTGTTTCTTGTCTCCTTCCTTGTATTCTCCTTCTCTTCAGTTTTATGTGGAAGTGAAATGCAGTTTCTGTTTCCCCTGTGCTTTAAATAGACCTGAGTAAGGAAGGTGGTGGTTGAATTGCTCTATTACCTGGAGAAGAAATGAAATATCTCCTTTCTATATTTGTCCTACTCCGATGAATGTTCATGGGTTTCCTCCTGTTGTGACTAAAGTGGTATTCTACTCTTCGCTGGAAGAGCTCCCAGCAATACAGAGAGGCTACCAGGCCTAGAACATCTTAGATTTAACAAGGAACTCTACCAGTAACTGAGGTCCTAAGGCAACTAACAGTGAACTCGTCACTACACTGAAATAAATTCTACTGAAATTGGCGGAACTTCCTTCGGAATAGATGTGTATAGGATGAAATTCTTAAGATTCCAAATGTTGCATCTGCATGTGGAGGCCATCTCAAAGCACTTTCATCTGGAGGCATCCCAGTGCCCGTCAGTTTAACATCTGTTTTCATGAATCCTTAAAATGGATTTATTTATATTTCTACTTGTTAATGCTAGCTTGGCTAAGCAATATGCAGCCACTGGTGTTCCTAAATGAGTTTGACTGGAAATTATTATTTTGGAGGGATGATAACAGTTCAAGCCAGAGTTCCAGGTTCAGCAGTCCCAGTAAGCAGTACAGGGATGGTGTGTCCTTGATTTGCTTAGCTTCTCTCACTGGCAGGAGGAATCAGGCAGGATCAGGCTGCACAAACCAGCATGCTGACTGGTTCATAGGAATTCAGAGTTAAAACAAAAACAGGTCACTGCTGCATGCAATCCAGGGCTTTGTGGACACAAGCATGGCAATCTAAATGACTGTTAACTTTAAAGGAGAAATGCATTAATCACAAGCTTATCTTCCCCATATAAGTCATTATGCTTTATATAGCTCCTTTTAGGGCTAAACAGGAACATTTTGTACATGTTGCAGGTGGTTTGATTGTGTCACACATATTGAAGCAAATTAATGGGCAATCTAGTGTAACAACTGAAGCAGATTTATTTCATGTGTTTGGGACCTTGAGGACCACTTTAGTGGTTAGAGTGCTAAACTGGGACTCAGGAGATCTGGGTTCTAGTCCCTGCTTGGCCAGACAGTAGACTTTTAGCCTAACCTACATCACTGGATTGGAGGGGGGACCTTGATTATCAAAGCATGCTATGATTTAATATTAATATTAATTTAATCTTTCTAGGCTTCAAGAAAAAGAACAGTCACTCAGTATGGCTATTAAAGATACTGCTGGCAAAGTAAGTGCACTCTAACTGCTATACTATTTGCTGTATATTGAAGGCACCAATAAGGCAATTAGTTATATTAGTGTAAGGAAAGAGACTGTGAATGGTTTTCCAAGAATCTTGCTTTTAAAATATTATTTAGTTATCATGGATGCTTTGGCATTATGCTGATCTGGTCAGTGCATTAAAAGTAAAAAGTATCAACTGGAATGAGGGTAGAATGGTGCTTTAAATA